CTTAGAACACTAATACCATAAATCAGTAAATAATGGCTTCATAATATCTATGCAATAATCACTGTTGAGGAAGTCTTGTTGACCATGGAAATGCATCAAAGTGGTGCTGCATAACAAAGGCAAACGGTGAAAGTCCTGTAGACTATTTATTTGAGGTAATAAATGTGCAAATTTCTTTTTCAATGTCTCAGGGCGATATGATGGCATTGTGCTGGGTGACTCAGCATACCAATGTACCAATTACATTATCCCGCCATACCTGGTCACCGAAACCCCATCCAAAGTCAGATTCAACAAAGCTTTGTGCAAAACAAGAGTTGTTATTGAACAAACATATGGAGTGATAAAGCGTAGATTGTACTGGCTTGTGCTGTGTTGCACAACATTGAGATTGATCATGGGGATATTGTAAATTTTGATGTAGACAATATTGGAGATGAAGGAGAAATTGATATAGCAATTAACCCAAGAGAAGGGGAAGGTGGAAGGCGAGAAAACATAAGACAAACTTACTTCCCATGAATCAATCCTGATGGTGTGTAGCACAGCAAACCAGAGCAATCTGTGTTACCTTTGGATTAATGCCGACACATTTCAAATATCAATATTGTATTTAGAACAGTGCACCAGTAACCTTTACTACGGTAAAACACTTAAGCATGGGTTATAATGAGCTACGGGCCAAGCATCACCACTTTGGGCTTCTGGTTAATAAGAAGAATTTTATTTCAATATTTTTTAAAACATTTGACCCCTGTTACTTTGAAAGTGAGATAATGTCATTCATTTGAACAAACTTTTGTCACCTATCATCCAAACATGCATCAACCCATGCTTACGATACATTTGACCCTTTGACATTGAAAGTAGGTCAAGGTCATCCAAAAGAACAAACTCAGTAGCCCTTCATCCCATTATGGTGTAATTGGCTAAATTTCATCACCCTAGGCCTATTGGTTGTTGAGAAGAAGCTGTTTAAATAAGAAAGCTAAAGCCGGCCAGACAAACGGAGATCAGTTGTCTTCTATGGCATAAGCTCTCTTGGCCTTCGGGCCAGACGAGCTAAAACTGATGAGGCCTATATAAAGAAAAATAATGACAGCTTAAGGTTTTATGTTACATCTTTGTTGTATTAACATATGTATATTTTACACATACACATCAAGAGTGTACACAAGGAGTATACATTTATAGTCATGCATCTACATACATTGTAAACATCATGACAAGTTCACAAACTACCATTTATAATTTATAAATAAAGAAAAATTGTGACATGAACAAAGGATACACTGGCATGTTCACAGTATTCAAATTTTAGGTTGCCAGGTATGATTATGTAATCTATATATAATACAGAATACACAATATCAATAGTATGTTTTTATAATATATCATAAATGGTTATTGTCTATACTCAATTTATTCTTCATTTACAGATATTCACAATTTTCAAATATTTCAGGATTCCCTAACGTACTAAGCTGTGTGGATGGCACATTTATCAAGATTTAGGCTCCACATGAAAATGAAGCTGATTTCATCAACAGAAAAGGCTATCACTCAAATGGACAGGTACTGGTGTAAATCAAATTCAAAATAATTTAAATTCCCTTGAAAATATGGTCAACATTCTATAACATAAAACAGTCATTAAATAAGGAAAGCCATGTGTGACCAAAATCAAACAGTTTTTAAATTGTGTATGTAGTTTAGGTGATGAATATCTGCAATATATGTCTTGCATGATGATAAAACTTTACAGCTGAAATTTATTTCCTCTTAATGTTACTTTAAAATGGAATATACTTTCTTAATGCATATGTGAATAAAATCTATGTCAATGTTTTGTTTAGATGTGACTCCAGGTACAGGATCATCAATGTGGTGGCAAAATGGCCAGGATCTGTCCATGATGCTAGAATCTTCAGAGGGTCACATGTCTGCTTTAAATTTGAAAATGGCAAGAAGAATTTTTGAAATACAGAGGTAAAATGTTATAGTGCTAGACATAAAAATATCTGTTTTTTAACATAGGGTTATATCTATGACTTCTTTAGACAACATGTCCGTTACCATAATTGTTTTTCTTTAATTTTAACATCAACAATAGTTGTACTACAAAGTTGTGTACCGAAAACCACTGACTTGTTATTATGTGATGTCATCTATTTAAATCTTTCTTGTTACTAGTATGGGTCAAATCATGTTTATATTGCAAATCTGCAATTATCGACACACTTTTAACCCCTTTAATTTCTGTGATATAAATTGTACTTGCATAAAGTGAAGCACGTCATAATGAACTACTCAACCACTAGTTAATTATATTTACTAGTAATTGATTAACAGTAAATTATAATTAAAATTTCCTGTTTTGAAATCAATGAGCCAGTCAGTTTAAACTTACTTACTCAGAAATATTTATACATTACAGGTAATTATGATGGAATTTTACTAGGGGACTCTGGATATCCTTGTACAATGTTTCTTATGACACCTTACATCCATCCATCTACGCCATCACACATCAAGTTTAGTGATGCTTTATGCAAGAGCAAAGTAAAAATTGAACAGACATTTGGAATTTTAAAAAGAAGATTTGCTTGTTTGTCACTTGGCTTGCGTGTTGAGCCCATGAAGGCTACCATCATAACATTGGCCTGTGCTGTGCTGTTCTGCACAATATTGGAATCGACAGGAATGAAATCATTGGTCAACCAGAGGAATACGAGGAAAGTAATGAGAATGGTTGGACCTGTATGAATAATGAGGGCAATGGGAACGCTATGCGTGACCATATCAAATCAACATATTTCCTGTGATTTTGTATGAAAATATATCTGAACAGAACTGAGTATAGTTCTACTGGTTAATACAATTTTTCAAGTTACCATTAATTGTTCATAAGGAGTATACTTAACTATAATATTATGAAGAACTCTTCATTACTGCTGAATTCGCTAAATTGGCTACATGTATCTAAAACAAACAAAAATAGCCATGAAGAAAGAGAAGACCTATGATTCCTCATTAGAGCCTTCTGTTCCTTAGCAATTTCTGTCTTGATTTTGGTCTTCTCGTTCTTTATGGCAAGAAGCTCTATCTCCATTTTCACTCGTTTTATTTCCAACTCCAGAAGTTATTCCTCAAGCTGGTCACGCTTACTTCTGGTATTGATATGTACCTGTGATAAGATAATTTATACTTTAAATCTGTAGTGTTACTGGTCTTTGTAGTATGTTTACAGCACACAGCATTCTTCTAATTCAAACAGATATATGACCACAAATATTAAATGAGTTTTATTCCTTATGAGATGAAGAAAATGGTACCCTCACAGAGACCATTTCTTGAAAGCTATGCTTCCAGGTTCCTACAATGACATGAAAACGCATCTGTTTTAAGGTCCAATGGCTATTCTGCTACTTAAACATCTTCATATGATGTACTTAATTTGTGTGAATTCATTCAAATCAATTGTTGATGTAAAAGAAGCGAAAATTCACAGATAGACATACAGATGAAAAGACCAATGGACAAACAGTGCATTCCTACATATTTTTGAAGTTAACAATCCCTACCCCAGCAAATTTGAAAAGAATTAGAATAAATCACATTATATCCTATTGTTCTTATATGGATAAATAATGAGCAGTTACATACTCTGGTGATAGTTTGGTCCCTCAATTTCTTTACTCAACGCCTGTTAGTGTGATCCTGTCAGTGGTACCAGTACACCTCGCTGACATTAACATATCATCTTCTTCTTCTTTGAAACATGAGTATTTCATTAAGAGATTACTTATTCATTATTAAATATTTTGCACATTTTCAAATAAACATGAAATCAGCCATGATTAATTCTATAAACTATTCATCACTTTTAATCACTGGTACCATATTGTGGATCAGGGGATTCAATAGGATTCCAAGTTGTGTTTAACCAACTCAGAGTAGGCATTAATGTCAGTACATTTCATAGTGATGATGATCATAACCATTCTTCATCCTTTTTCATAAAAGTAGCCAGTGAAATATCTGTAGCAGGAGAGTGTTTTTACCAGCTACTGGCTACAAATAAAACCCCTTGTGGATTACAACACTTCCCAAATTGCAAATTGTAGGGAATTTAATTTTTGTTTTCGATTCTGAAAACTTTCTGGTTCAAGTGGAGGCTCAAGGTTCAAATTCCGAAAAAAGTGCGCAAATTACGAAAATGTGGATAAGTACATATTCAACGAAACATTCAAGTCATGACACATGGTTTGAAACATGTACATGCAATGTAAATTTTAAATTTCCATATACGTGTATGCGTAATTTTAAGTTGACAATGCGCGCAAACAAGTCTCCGAAAAAGATACAATGTTGTACACTGCTTCTGAAAACAAGGACGACACCGACCTCAAACGTTCTACCGACCAATCGAACAAGCATTGTAAGGAAACAGATTTGAGCGTAATTAAATGTAAACTACAAAGCTATATGAAGGAGTTTTTTCATATGTTTTTACCCAAAAACTTAAAAGATAAGCAAAGCAATATCGGAATGATATTAAAAAACTTATGCATAAAAACACAAAAAAGTCATGATTGCTCGGAATATCACGACTTCAATTAAAAATTTCTACTGTGCACAAGTTTGATGGTCGCCATCAGGAACACGCAGTGAAAAACGTTATTTCTCTGTCTGATATGAAGGTCGATACATTTGATTATGCTCATTAGAATGCCTTGCAGATTGTTGTGACTATCCGAGTTCTCGACGTCAGGACCTGACATTACTTGGATTCGACTTAAACTTACATTGCGGTTGTCCTCGATGAAGCAGAAGACGCTTACCATTCTGGAATACCTGGTATTAATTTCCCTGTGCCTTTTATTTCATCTTTTGTTTTAGTTTGAATTGTGTGGCTCTGGTGACACTTCGGCATTCTCTTGTTGGTTGTTGAATCATTCCTTCGACTTAAACTTACATAAATGATAAGCAAGCTGGAAAGAATAATGAAGAACGTGAACAAGGTTTATGGCGCAAGAATGGGTGATGTTTTTTAATTTAAAATCCAGACACCCAATGGGAGCCATTTTAGCCGACTATGTTGTCTATATGATTCGTCTATATTACTTGTAAAAAAAATAGAATGTGGTAAGTATGATTAAAAATATTTTCCTCTTTTGATCAGCACATCACAGGAGAGGGATTCTTAGTATCAAGTTTCATTGTAGCTTCAATGTTCAACACAACCACCTTGGAAATATTTTCAATGCCGCCGCCAGAAGCAGTGGATAGGTAGTTGAGAATGCGAGCGACAGGACGATAGCAAGTGTAAACAAAGTCAATTTCCATTTATCACACATCACCTCTGGTTGGCCAAATATTTTAAGAAAGCAGGAATGTCCGATTATAAAGACAAACGCTGATACTTCTATGTTAATATATCCAAAAGTATGGAGCATATCCATCATCTTCGAAAAGGCAGAAAGTATAAAGACGTATTTCGAGTACACACGGCGCTGGTATGGCCCAATGTTATCATTTCCTCTTGTGAGATAACTGGCGAGGTACACGATGAAAACCTCCAGAATGGAATCAAGTAGCACATCCATTGAGCCTTTCTGTATATATAACATTGTAATATGAAAATTAATTAACGAAAGTTTTCATACAAATATTCTCTGAAAACAAGGAAGAATTATTTCAATCATTCAGTTACTGTGACCGTGTCCATGTTTTGCCGTTTTCGCAAGATAAGTGACCTGTTATTCTCAGGACAATTACCTAATTACACAAATGAATGCAGAAAAATCAAAACGTACTAGATCATCTATATCCGTGGTGATTTGACCAACATAGGTTTTGTTGTCCGACTCGCTAACCGCCATTTTTCACGGACTCCATCAATGTTACTTTTACAGACTCATGTTTGAATTTTACAACTTGTACCATCTCATGCTTGTGAATATGTCGCAAGCTGACTCTGACAACCCACATAACAGGAAATTTAACTATTCTCCTTATGCCCGTAACCACCCCCGGCACATTAGAGGTCACGTCCATCTATGTCAGGATGCCACTTCAGCAAAACGTCCAAACACCAGAAATTGGTATTACGAATCTGAAAGTCTCCAATGACTTGCTCATTAATAAATGTGCCTCACTTGTGTCCAAAATCATCAGTCTGAATGATCGCCAGATTCTTAATATGGAAATATCGTGCCATGGAACTATGAGACGCAATCAGTAACGGTTTATTTTATCTCTATACCATCTTTAACGTGCTGGTGAAATACCAGTTTCTTCATACTGACTTTTTGGCTCGGGGAAATATATAGCTCATTCGGCTTTGAAATAACAACAAAGGTCCCAGGTGACATTCTTAGCGGAGGGATTGAAATAGAATTACAACATATATTTTACAGTTATACAATACTAAGTCTTCTAAGACTGCAAGGACTGCGGTCACTAATCAAATAATTTTGCATCAGGTGTTGCGAAAATGTCGTGTAAAGGTGTCTCAATCACAAGGGCCTGCGAATTTGTAACAGCTATATTTTGACTTAAATCAAGGTGTTAAGAGTAATTTTAGATGTTTTATGGGTTTATCTCAACTTTCGGTAAATAAGCCACCACCAATGACGATATGTAGTTTAGGTCTTAATATACCTACAATATCAGGTCCCTGTGCCTAATATTGTACCTGTTTGTTTACCTGTACAGGTATGTGTACACATTGTAGCATTACTTATACATTCGAGATATAATATAATAATTTTTGAGATGACCTTTGCTTTTCCTTTTCTATGTCTCATTTTCTGCGCTCCATACTAGGTCTACCTCAAAATGAGTAATGTTCATTAAGAAATCGAGCTTTCTTCTTATACTACAACTTCTCCTTCTGCCCGGTAATGGTGTGCATCATAACCCAGGCCCTACAAACCACATAAATGATATATCTATATCTTTCACTTGAACTTTCGTAGTCTTTGAAATAAGCTGTCATATTTAGAACACGTAGCGTCTGATTATGATACTGTCTGTGTCACCGAGACTCACCGTGATATATCTATAGCAGACGAAGATACAATCCTAGATGGTTAGGTCCGGGTGTTTGAAACCTACTTACACTTCCAGTCTCTTGTGTACCCGTCGTAGAGCTGACGTGGAATTTTGGGTGGGTTAAGTGGTTTGGGCAGATAACCAGTTTCTAAAAAAGAAAAACCTCTTATGTAAAATATAAAGACCTCCGAATAGTGCCACTCCTTCTGGAATCACTTTCAATACTCTCTGTAAACTGCCTTCCAAGAAACTCCGTATGTTGTAATAGTTGTTGACATTAAAGAAGATCTCTTAGTTGTAGCAAATGCCCATGTAATTTACGATATTATAAACATTCCTTCCACTTGCCAAACATTATTAACAAACCGACTCGTATTGGACGCACGTGCTCTACCCTACTTGGCCCATTACTTTCAGTTTTGCTGATGAAATCGACATAAAGTCACCAAGTGACGACAGTTGGGACTAATATTGAAAGGACATATAAAAGAAAAGTTACTCTTTATAAAGACGCAAACTACGAACTCTTCAACCATAAATTTCATGCGACTTATTTTCAAGGGTGCACTCCACAGATGTCATTTATGGAACTTTCATATCGACTTTCTTAAACCTTGGCAAAGGAGTATATACCAACAAAAACATGGTTCAATTATAATCTACGACAAGAAATCAGGCAAGGAGACAAACTACTACAATGATTTAAATAACACTGTTCCCCAAATAACTTTACCAACTTTCGATAAGAACGTAATCAAGTGAATAATCTCAAAAAGAGGACAATAGAACTATTCATGCAGATATTAATGACATTTTAGATCAATACTCCGATTCGAACTAAAACAAAATAATCGAAAATTAAAAATTAATCAAATACTCCGATAACTTTAACATGTACCTCCCCTTGGAAATTATACTTGAAACCTAGAAATAGCATACGATATGAAAGATAATTCTCTAAATAATTATTTTGTTTCCCATTCTACATTTGACGATACAAACATTGACGTTCCGACTGTAGAACTTGGGACATTTTCTACTTTATCTGACATAACTCTCAACACAAATGACATTATAGACATTCTGACATCTTTGAATGTTATTAAAGCTGTTAGTCATGACACAATTAGCCACCATATATTGAAAGATACAGCAACTTTAGACTCTCTTCTTCTATCTCTGATGTTTAAATCTTCTTTGGAGACTGATATCTTACCAAGCCGGAGGAAACAAGCTTTATTATTTCCATCATTTTAAAAGAGCGATTGATAATATTCTGCTAGACAAGCACATACCTTAATTGAAAGTTGCTGTGTTATGATGGAATGAAAGAGATACTTATTATTTGGCTGGTATATGTAGTAATAATTCGTTGAAAACCCACAAAAAAAGATCTCACATTTTTTATATGCAAAAACTAATTTTCTGTATCTATTATATATGTTGAGATTGTCTCCCCTGATACAAGTGGAAATCTTTATGTACTCTATAAATACAGATATAGTCATAAAGAACTGCGGAGCACAGATACCTTACTATATGCACATACTCACCTTGATTGGTTGGTTTGTGTTTTACGTCCTATTAACAGCTATAGTCATATAAGGACGTGCCAGGTTTTTATAGTGGAGGAAGCCGCAGTTCCCGGAGAAAACCACCTGGCGATTGATTCGAACCATAAATCAAATGAATAGTAATTTGAGCATATTTTGTGATAAAAACAACAAACGCTTAGATAAAAATAACCCACTGAAATAAAATGGTTGATTCTAGATATAAATTAATTTTCACTTTCATTTCATATAATCAATAACGAAAGTATACGTAGATGATACAACAATACATTTGAATTTAAATTTAACGTATCGAATGAAACAAGCTCATACCTCACCTGGAAATTGTTGTATTTTGATGGAATGAAGGAGATACTTAGGGATTAGGAATTACTTGGCCGGAACATGCAGTACAAACTCGGTGGAAAACCGCAATTTGGCAAAAATAGATATTTCTGAGGTTTTATTTGTATCTGCCTTTGTGTATTAGCCTTACGTTTTACCGAATGAGCGAAAATAGATATTACAGAGGTTTTATGTTTTTTTTTTATCTGCCTTTTTGTTTTAGTCTTACGTTTTACCGAATGAGCTTAAATAGATATTACAGAGGTTATATTTTCATATATTCATATTTGATGGAATGATATCATCGAAATAACTGTAATATGTTGATTAGGGTATTTTTTTTAAACCGCAATTTTGCAAAAATAGATATTTCAGAGGTTATTTTTTTATATATCAATATTTAACTTATAATTGATCTGTTATATATGCTGAGATTGTCTCCCCTTATACAAGTGGACATTTTTTATGTATTCTATAAAGGAACATACAGTCATGAGATATTTTAACATTGTGAACATACCCAGATTGATTCATATTACATACTGAGGGAACAGCGCGACTGAAAACTGATTTGAGCATGTTTTGAGCACAAGTAAAAAATATCACGATGACAACTGTGAACATTTAAAGATTTTTTCCTGAATAAGCAGAAGAGAGACTGCGGGTGACAAAATTTGACTTTTAATGTACTTGGGTCACGGGCTATCAAGCTTAACAGGTGCGATATACAAATTCACGGCGCCGTATTGTTTTGAAAGGAACATACAAGGATAAAATACAAACTATATCACACTGTCAACATACATCTGTATATGGATAACATATATTATAGGGTCAAGAAACAAGTATATCATATATCGCAACATCAGAACCCAAGGGTAGAATATATCAAAGCGTCAATGGAGAAACACATATACCACAGCATCAGCACTAAGTCATATTATATTTCACAGCGTCAGTGGGCATGGAACAACATGTCAGAGCATCAACATACAAATGTTATACATGACACAGCGGCATACATATTGTACTACAGCACCAACTTACAGTGCTAAATACTAGTGTATCACAGCCTCACCATACACGGGTGAAATAATCAACATATACCACATCGTCAACATACAATGTTAGTATATTCCACTGCGTCAATAGATAATGTATTTCCAATATACAGAAAACCATCACAAGCGTCAAAAACATGGAAAAGATCAAGGTTAAAACATACCGATACCATAACCCAGCATACAATATTTATATATACCACAGCGTCAACTTACAACATTACAGTATACCACAGCGTCAACATAACAAGAATCATATGTCACTGCACAGTGAAACATAGAACGATAATATATACATCAACATATCATAGCGTCAATTTACAAGGATAATCTATACATTAATATACCATTGCGTCAACATCTATAGACTCTAACGTGAGTCAACATCTAAAGACTCTAACGTGAGCCACATCTATATTCTCTAACGTGAGTCAACATCTATAGACTCTAACGCGAGTCAACATACAATGATAACACAATATATCTTCGACAAAGTGAAAATATACCACATCGTCATTTTGTAAGGTTGACGTGTATTACAGCGATAACATATCACATCCAAAAATCATCAGTCTGAATGAGTCGCTAGATTCTTAATATGGAAACATCGTGCCATGGAACTATGAGACGCAATCAGTAACGGTTAATTTTATCTCTATATCATCTTTACCGTGTTGGTGAAATACCAGTTTCTTCATACTGACTTTTTGGCTCGGGGAAATATATAGCTCATTCGGCTTCGAAATAACAACAAAGGTACCAGGTGACATTCTTAGCGGAGGGATTGAAATAGAATTACAACATATATTTTACAGTTATACAATACTAAGTCTTCTAAGACTGTAAGGACTGCGGTCACTAATCAAATAATTTTGCATCAGGTGTTGCGAAAATGTCGTGTAAATGTGTCTCAATCACAAGGGCCTGCGAATTTGTAACAGCTATATTTGGACTTAAATCAAGGTGTTAAGAGTAATTTTACATGTTTTATGGGTTTATCTCAACTTTCGGTAAATAAGCCACCACCAATGATGATATGTAGTTTAGGTCTTAATATACCTGCAACATCAGGTCCCTGTGCATAATATTGTACCTGTTTGTTTACCTGTACAGGTATGTGTACACATTGTAGCATTACTTATACATTCGAGATAATATATAATAATTTTTGAGATGACCTTTGCTTTTCCTTTTCTATGTCTCATTTTCTTCATACTTGGTCTACCTCGAAATGAGTAATGTTCATTGAGAACTCTAGCTTTCTTCTTATACTACAACTTCTCCTTCTATCCGGTAATGGTGTGCATCATAACCCAGGCCCTACAAACCACATAAATGATATATCTATATATTCAGTTGACCTTTCGTAGTCTTTGAAATAAGCTGTCATATTTAGAACACGTAGCGTCTGATTATGATACTGTCTGTGTCACCGAGACTCACCGTGATATATCTATAGCAGACGAAGATACAATCCTAGATGGTTAGGTCCGGGTGTTTGAAACCTACTTACACTTCCAGTCTCTTGTGTACCCGTCGTAGAGCTGACGTGGAATTTTGGGTGGGTTAAGTGGTTTGGGCAGATAACCAGTTTCTAAAAAAGAAATACCTCTTATGTAAAATATGTAGACCTAAGAATAGTGCCACTTCTTCTGGAATCACTTTCAATACTCTCTGTAAACTGCCTTCCAAGAAACTCCGTATGTGGTGACATTACAGTAGATCTCTTAGTTGTATAAAATGCCCATGTAATTTACGATATTATAAAAAATCCTTCCACTTGTCGCACGTTATTAACAAACCGACTACGTGCTTTACCCTACGTGGCCCATTACTTTTAGTTTTGCTGATGAAATCGACATAAAGTCACCAAGTGACGACAGTGGGGACTAATATTGAAAGGATATATAAAAGAAAAGTAACTCTTTATAAAGACGCAAACTACGAACTCTTCAACCATAAATTTCATGCGACTTATTTTCAAGGGTGCACTCCACAGATGACATTTATGGAACTTTCACATCGACTTTCTTAAACCTTGGCCAAGGAGTATATACCAACAAAAAGCATGGTTCAATTATAATCTACGACAAGAAATCTGGCAAGGAGACAAACTACTTCAATGATTTAAATAACACTGTTCCCCAAATAACTTCACCAACTTTCGATAAGAACGTAATCAAGTGAATAATCTTAAAAAGAAGACAATATAACTATTCATGCAGATATTAATGACATTTTAGATCAATACTCCGATTCGAACTAATTTTTTTTTTTTCGAAAGTTAAAAATTAATCAAATATTCCGATAACTTTAACATGTACCTCCCCTTCGAAATTATACTGGAAACCTAGAAATAGCATACGATATTAAAGATAATATTCTAAACAATTATTTTGTTTCCCATTCTACAATTGACGATACAAACATTGACGTTCCGACTGTAGAACTTGGGACATTTTCTACTTTATCTGACATAACTCTCAACACAAATGACATTATAGACATTCTGACATCTTTGAATGTTATTAAAGTTGTAAGTCATGACACAATTAGCCACCATATGTTGAAAGATACAGCAACTTTAGACTCTCTTCTTCTATCTCTGATGTTTAAATCTTCTTTGGAGACTGATATCTTCCCAAGCCGGAGGAAACAAGCTTTATTATTTCCATCATTTGATTGATAATATTCTGCTAAACAAGCACATACCTTACTTGAAAGTTGCTGTGTAATGATGGAATGAAAGAGATACTTATTATTTGGCTGGTATATGTAGTAATAATTCGTTGAAAACCCACAAAAAAAGATCTCACATTTTTTATATGCAAAAACTAATTTTCTTTATCTATTATATATGTTGAGATTGTCTCCCCTGATACAAGTGGAAATCTTTATGTACTCTATAAATACAGATATAGTCATAAAGAACTGCGGAACACAGATAACTTACTATATGCACATACTCAGCTTGATTGGTTGGTTTGTGTTTTACGTCCTCATTTAAGGACATGCCAGGTTTGTATAGTGGAGGAAAGCCGCAGTTCCCGGAGAAAACCCACCTGGCGATTGATTCAAACCATAAATCAAATGAATAGTATAGCTGTAAACTAATTTGAGCATATTTTGTGATAAAAACAACAAAGGCCTAGATAAAAATAACCCACTGAAATAAAATGGTTGAGTACCTGTGTGACAATATATCAGCTGAGTTTGGTTACGAGATATCCCAGTAGACTGTTGGTATAACAGAGACCTACTCGTGACCGACTTGATTTATGATATGCGGCTGATATTGAAGCCTACTAAGACGTACAAAAAACCTTGCTAAGTCATTTAATTTTACGTCCTTATATATCAACGACGTTATATCTTTAAATAACTTGCAAACTATTAAACACATCAATTGTGTATACCCTCCTTAACTTGAAACAAAAGGACCCTTAAGACTCTTCAATATCAGTTGCTGCCCTTGGTCTTTACTCATAACATGACTGTATTCATAGAAACATACTAGCCGTTTTCCTCATACTCGGATAGGGAAAATATCGTTTAGCTCATCCGGTAAAACGTAAGACTAATACATAAGACGTCCCTGGTTCAATTCTTAGCGGTGGTATTTAAAAATTATTGAGTAAATATTCCGTTATGACCAATAGAAAAAAACTTTTAACCAGTTCTTTCTTGGAGGAGGAGTATGTTTCCATGGTAAAACAAACTTGTAATAAACAAAAATTTAAAAAATGACCTTAATCAACACATTACAGTTATTTCGATGATATCATTCCGTCAGTGAATTTCTAAAATTGGATTCTAGATATAAATTAATTTTCACTTTCATTTCATATAATCAATAACGAAAGTATACGTAGATGATACAACAATACATTTGAATTTGAATTTAATGTTTCGAATGAAACAAGCTCATACCTCACCTGGAAACTAACTGTTGTGTTCTGATGGAATGACGGAGATACTTAGGATCTAGGAATTACTTGGCCGGAATATGTAGTACAAACTCGGTGAAAAACCGCAATTTTGAAAAAATAGATATTACAGAGGTTATATTTTTATATATCCATATTTAACTTATAATTGATCTGTTACATATGTTGAGATTGTCTTCCCTTATATAAGTGGTCATTTTTATGTATTCTATAAAGGAGCATACAGTCATGAGATATTTTAACATTGTGAACATACTCAGACTGATTCATATTACATAATGAGGGAACAGCGCGACTGAAAACTGATTTGAGCATGTTTTGAGCACAAGTAAATAATATCACGATGACAACTATGATTTAAAGAACTTTTCCTGAATAAGCAGAAGAGAGACTGCGGGTGACGAAATTTGACTTTTTGTGTACTTGGGTCACGGGCTATCGAGCTTAACAGGTGCGATATCCAAATCCACGGCACCGTATTGTTTTGAAAGCAACATACAAGGAGAAAATACAAACTATATCACACTGTCAACATAAAAGGATAAAATACAAACTATATCACACTGTCAACATACATCTGTATATGGATAACAAATATTAAAGGGTTAAGAAACAAGTATATCATATATCGCAACATCAGAACCCAAGTGCAGAATATATCAAAGCGTCAATGGACAAACACATATACCACAGCATCAGCACTTAGTCACATTATATTTCACAGCGTCAGTGGGCATGGAAAAACATGTCAGAGCATCAACATACAAATGTTATACATGACACAGCGGTATACATATTGTACTACAGCGCCAACTTACAGTGCTAAATACTAGTGTATCACAGCCTCACCATACACGGGTGAAATAATCAACATATACCACATCGTCAACATACAATGTTAGTATATTCCACTGCGTCAAGAGATAATGTATTTCCAATATACAGGAAATCATCACAAGCGTCAAAAACATGGAAAAGATCAAGGTTAAAACATACCAATACCACAACCCAGTATACAATATTGAAGTATACCACAGTGTCAACTAACAATATTGAAGTATACCACGGTGTCAATTTACAATATTGAAGTATACCGCAGTGTCAACTTACAATATTGAAGTAAACCACAGTGGCAACTAACAATATTGAAGTATACCACCGAGTCAATTTACAACATTGAAGGATACCACAGTGTCAATTTACAACATTGAAGGATACCACAGTGTCAATTTACAACATTGAAGCATACCACAGTGTCAATTTCCAACATTGAAGTATACCACAGCGTAAATTTGCAACACTAAAGTATACCACAGTGTCAATTTACAACATTGAAGTATACCACAGTGTCAACTTACAATATTGAAGTATACCACAGTGTCAACTTACAACATTGAAGTATACCACAGTGTCAACTTACAATATTGAAGTATACCACAGTGTCAACTAACAATATTGAAGTATACCACAGTGTCAACTTACAACATTGAAGTATACCACAGCGTCAACTTACAACATTGAAGTATACCACAGCGTCATCTTACAACATTGAAGTTTACCACAGTGTCAACTTACAACATTGAAGTATACCACAGCGTCAACTAACAATATTGAAGTATACCACAGTGTCAACTTACAACATTGAAGTATACCACAGTGGCAACTTACAATATTGAAGTATACCACAGTGTCAACTTACAATAGTGAAGTATACCACAGTGTCAACTTACAACATTGAAGTATACCACAGTGTCAACTTACAATATTGAAGTATACCACAGTGTCAATTTACAATATTGAAGTATACCACAGTGTCAACTTACAATAGCGAAGTATACCACAGTGTCAACTTACAACATTGAAGTATACCACAGTGTCAACTTACAATATTGAGGTATACCAAAGTGTCAACTTACAACATTGAAGTATACCACAGTGTCAACTTACAACATTGAAGTATACCACAGTGTCAACTTACAATATTGAAGTATACCACAGTGTCAACTTACAACATTGAAGTATACCACAGTGTCAACTTATAATATTGAAGTATACCACAGTGTCAACTTACAACATTGAAGTATACCACAGTGTCAACTTACAATATTGAAGTATACCACAGTGTAAACTTACAATATTGAAGTATACCACAGCGTCAACATAACAATTATATGTCACTGTACAGTGAAACATACAACAATAATATATACTTCAACATATAATAGCGTCAATTTACAAGGATAGTCTATACATTAATATACCATTGTGTCAACATCTATAGACTCTAACGTGAGTCAACATCTATAGACTCTAACGTGAGTCAACATCTATAGACTCTAACGTGAGTCAACATCTATAGACTCTAACGTGAGTCAACATCTATAGACTCTAACGTGAGTCAACATCTATAGACTCTAACGTGAGTCAACATCTATAGACTCTAACGTGAGTCAACATCTATAGACTCTAACGTGAGTCAACATCTATAGACTCTAACGTGAGTCAACATCTATAGACTCTAACGTGAGTCAACATCTATAGACTCTAACGTGAGTCAACATCTATAGACTCTAACGTGAGTCAACATCTATAGACTCTAACGTGAGTCAACATCTATAGACTCTAACGTGAGTCAACATCTATAGACTCTAACGTGAGTCAACATCTATAGACTCTAACGTGAGTCAACATCTATAGACTCTAACGTGAGTCAACATCTATAGACTCTAACGTGAGTTAACATCTATAGACTCTAACGTGAGTCAACATCTATAGACTCTAACGTGAGTCAACATCTATAGACTAAACATACAATGATAACACAATATATCTTCAACAAAGTGAAAATATACCACATCGTCATTTTGTAAGGTTGACGTGTATTACAGCGATAACATATCACATGCCAAGTGTCACCATGCAAGATTCACATGCAAGTATAACAAATACTGTAGTGTGTTAACATGTAATGTAGTGTGCTAACATGTAATGTAGTGTGCTAACATGTAATATAGTGTCAATATGAAAGTCGACACACTATTCATTAAAACGATTCAGGCATGAAAGTGTGCTGTTGCCTGACACCTCCTCATTTACAATTTCGCAAATAACCAATACGCTTTTACATAACGCCGCGGCTGCCACCATTGTATAGGAAGAGGGTTGTTGTCATTCGCCATAATGGAGTACAATAACGCCAAGTTGCATGAAAATATGATTGCAGTGCAAAGACAATAAACCTTTTGAATCTTGTAAACCACGCTTGGCCGACGTCCGACCGTTCTAGAAGCGGAAGACCCTTTGTATCAACAACTCCGGAAGACTACCAGATACGGTTGTTTTGACACAACGTCACCGTAACAACCGCTTTAATTTGGTTCGTTCGCACCGTCATTGGGTGTTACGCAAATGGAATTTCCTTTTACGGATTGATCCTGATTCTGATTTTCACATTGTGAGCGGTAGCGTGTAGTGCTTTGAGTACTGTGATTTTTAACGGGACTGTTTTTGTGCCGATATTGTGATGGTCTTGGACGGTAGTTACCGGACAAGACTGGTTTTAGTGCCTGGAAATTCCAATGAAATGTGTTATCGAGACGAAAGATCTCGAGGCGTGTAATACGCCCGTTTTCAAAGCGCTGTTAGATTTTCGAAACAATAACGCGCTAGCGCATACCAGTTGCATCAGCAGAACCTTTCTGCAGTATAACAATGTTCGGATCTAGGACTGGCCATCTTTATCACCCGATATGTCGCCAATAGAACAATTCTTGAATATTTTCTGATCGGCGCGTTCGAAAACGTCAAAATCAGCTGTCTTACTTGCAGGATCTGGCTTAAGCGATGACCGATGAAAGGAACAGTTTCCCATCCCTGCTCACCTCATCGGTTGCTAGTACAATTCGACGGTGCTGCAACGCTGTCTTTGGCGCAAACGGTGGTCATGCGTAATGATAAACGCGTGAATCAGGACACTTTATTTAACATACGCTAACGTCTAAAACATTAAAATCATTGTATTTGTCATTTATAAAAAGGCACTTTCAAAAAAATTAAATGATACCAAGTTGAATACAACTGCTACAAAGATGACAAATTTA